TTGGCGAAAGCACTTCGAGTTTTTGCTATACAGTTCGTAACCTCAGTTGTTGTGGAGTTCTCCGAGCTGGGCAACTTGGTTGCAAACGTTTCACCACCATTCGAGGTGGCATCTTCAGTGCGGGATTGATAGCAGAACAATTGGGCAATTGGGCTACAATTGGGCAACAACTGACTGAACAAGTGCAACGCGCAATAGATCGCAGAGCTAAAAACACAAAAGCAAAAAAAGCAGACTGCGCTTCACAAGAAGTTGACCAAACTGACAACCAGCACCGACGAATGCATCAACAATGGTTGGATCAGGAACCTGTCAAATCGGCCACTCAGTGGTACGGAACAACAAATTCTCATCAAAGGCCTAAATTATAACTACAAAGACGCGACAACTACGGAGTTTCTGGCACGATTTGAAAGCGCTTTGCAGTCCAACGGACTAGACGACGAAACACAGAAACAAATCAGATACACAGTCGTCCCAGCCATGACGCATTTAAAGCAATGCAACCCTCTATCCCGACAACAGAAAGAAGCAATAAAAGCTCTGAAGTCTGACGAATCAATTGTTATCCTACCTGCTGATAAAGGACGGATGACAGTAATTATGGACAAAGCAGATTACACCGAGAAAGCACAACAGCTCCTGAACGATACTACAACCTACCAATGCATTGAGAATGACCCAACGTCGCAACTAACCAACAAAATAAACAGAGTGTTGGCGAAGCTTAAGAAGTCGAACGAAATATCGGAAGTGGAACGAGAAAAAATGAGGGCTCGCGACTCGAACATTGCACAATTCTATGGACTACCTAAAGTACACAAGGACGGAGCACCCTTAAGACCAATTGTGTCACTTCCAGGCACGCCCACCTACTATCTGGCAAAGGAACTATGGAGGCGCCTCAAGCACCTAATCAGTAAATCGCAACACTCCATAAACAATGCCCAACAATTCTTGACAAAGCTCAAAGACCTACGAATAGAACATGATGAAACCATGGTGTCCTTCGATGTAACCGCCCTATTCACTTCCGTCAACTTACAGCTGGCCAAAGAAATTATCGTAGAACGTCTGGACAACAGCGGAGGGAAGATTGGGAACATGACGACCAGAAGCGTATGCGAACTTCCCAACTTATGTCTCTCAACTTACTTCGCGTTCAACGGAAAAATGTATAAACAAGTGAAAGGTGCACCGATGGGATCACCTGTGTCCGGACTCATCGCAGAGATTGTCATGCAAAAATTGGAAGAGGATCTACTGCCAATGATTAATCCGAAACTCTGGGTTCGCTACGTCGATGACACGTTTGTGATACTCAAACGTAGTCAAGTATCGGTTGCACAACAACTGCTCAACAACGCTATGGACGACATACAGTTTACCATGGAATCAGAGAAGGAAAACAAACTTCCTTTCTTGGATGTGCTGGTAGCCAGGACAATGGACGGCGAATTGCAAACCTCAGTTTACCGAAAAAGCACGCACACCGATCAGATTTTGAATTTCAACAGTAACCACCCAAGATGTCACAAAATAAGCTGTGTGAGGACACTGTTCCATAGAATAGAAACTCACTGCAGTACGACAGAAGCGAAACGAGCAGAAGAAAAACACTTATTCAGGTCATTCGAACGCAACGGATACCCACGCAGTTTCCTCCGAAGATGCCTAAATCGCAAGCCCTCAAAAACCGAACCTACGTCAGCTATGGCTAAACGTATAGTTCTGCCGTACATAAAGAACGTGTCTGAAATGACTGCCAGATTGTTCAACCAACATCATATCATGGTAGCCCACAAGCCAACCGCCACTCTGAGGAAAACATTGTCAAAACCAAAAGGAAAGCGAGAGGCACTAGAACGACAGAATGTCATATATAGAATAAACTGCGTAAACTGTGAAAAGCACTATGTGGGACAAACAGGAAGGAAGCTGTCCACCAGGATACATGAACACCAATGAGCGTGCAAGAACCATTACGCAAACTCATTGGTTTCAGCACATGTGGATGAAGAGGGACACAGCTTCGACTGGAACAAAGTAGAGATCTTGACCGAAGGAGAAACACAAAAAGGGAGGGAGTTTCTCGAAGCCTGGTTCTCAACCACGAACTCAATCAACATGCATATCGACCTCGATCCAATATATCAACCGCTGAGACAGAGAGAGTTCAAGCGGCTCAAAAACCGTTGTCAAAAAGAACCTAATCCAACACACGGACAATGAACAGCATGGTCAATATGAGCACAGACTACTCACCCACACCCGTTGCACCAATCCGGGTGCGATATTCCCAACCACGTCGCAACAACATTTCCGCAGCCAATGACAATGACTCGAGCACAACCACTGAACACAAGGATTCACCAATGAGAACGAGACAAAATTAATAGCCCCGTATGCCTATATAAGGAACGGAGTAGCTGCTGACAGCATCCATTATTGGGTTTGCTTTCTACCAGCTACTGCTACTTTACTGCTATCAATCCCGCACTGAAGATGCCACCTCGAATGGTGGTGAAACGTTTGCAACCAAGTTGCCCAGCTCGGAGAACTCCACAACAACTGAGCAAGCCTCCCGAGCTACCAATATTCCAAATCATTTCGAGTTCGTAACCTCATCTACAATCCTACGGGTGCTACTATAGCTGCCCAGGTACTTGAATTTACAGACGACTTTTAGCTGATCAGCACCAAGGGTCAGTGCAGGGGTGGATTTCTGCCAATCTTGGAGAAATACTTTGCATTTCAATGGAACAAAGCATATCCCAAAACGATTGACAGCTATTACTAATCGGTCCAGTGCTGTTTGTCACGTTTGGGCCCGACTGGTTGTGGTCGCGCGGCAGCGAAGTGTTGGTACTGCGTACCGACGTATTGCTGATACCTCCCTTATCTAGTCACCTATGTCATTCATGTAGATGTGACAAGTAATGAATGCAACAGACACCGCTGGAGGACACCAGTGGTAACATTTCCGTGGCGGAGCTGTACGCTATGGGGTGCATCTCCACATTGCAGATTCGGGATTGCCTTCATTGTGGCGGTAACTGCGAGTAAGTCTCGTCTGCTTTGCAGGCGAGATGAATAAGCAGTCGCGGACAATCAGCGGCAGTGTCTCAGAGCGTGGGGAGTTCTGAGCTGGTCACCTCGTTCTCCATCAAATACAACGTGAGTTCGTGCGGCGCTGTGTCAGCCAATATGACCGGATGTGTGACCGGGTCACTGACCACTCACTTCGTTAACTGGAAGTGTGTATTTAACGGAGGGCAGATAAACAACGCTGCTGGCCACCGGCTTCTCTGTGTACTGCAACCGAACACAAAAAAGGCGAATGAGCCACGTCGCTGTCAGCGGTCTTCGTTTATCGTCTCGCTGCCTTGCGAGTCAGGTCTTTATGGCCGAAGGCTCGGTAGGGGGGTCCTTAAGTCAACCCCCTATTTCGGCCTTGACAACTGGGAAGCTCAATGCCCAAACAACACATGGTCTCCGCTCTTTCCTTCTTTTTGTTGCTGTTATATTCTGTGTTGTGACACTGCCTACTGTTTACTGATCATGGTTTATATATATATATATATATATATATATATATATATATGATTGGCGGCATCCGGTTTTGGATTTGCTTGTCACTGTGGCCAGCCACAGGACGCCTGCGCCTACAGAGGAACCATGGGCGGCTTGCGCTGCACCACCCACAGATCCAACCACACACCCCATATCCAGTGTAAACCCGAAGGAATAAGATCGGGAGGCATGTGGATGGGAGCCACGTTTCATCAACGGAGCCGGCCCACACTTCTTCACAGACAAACACAAGCACGCCGTATTTGGGGAATCAAGTGCACATAATGCGGTGGCTGGACCGTAGTCCGCTCCACACTGAGTGCATGGAACCACTCTTCGAGCCTTTCACGACCACAAGGACTGTGCACCCCGTCCTCTCCAGCAACGACTAACTGTCTCCTGGAGCCAGATGGACGAGAAAGTGGGTAATAGACAGGTAGACACCTTGTCAACATGCACATCAAGCGCAGCCACACCTGGGATGTCAAACAACAGCCAATCATTCGAAATGCCGATATCGAATAAAGTAAACGCATATGACGACATAAATACTCGCTAAATGAGCATATAGAAGAAATTAGTTATAAGTGAATCCGTGATAAGTGCAAAATGTCCGAAAGTTATTTAAAAAATACCATGCGATAAAATTACGCAAGTTTACCACAATTTTCGTGAGCGACATGTGCAAGTAAGGAGAAGATTATCAAGTACGCAGAACAAACCAAATAACATGTAATGATTTTTAGCCAAATTAAAGAGACCTAGTTTAAGTGTAACTTAATTTAGCCTAGCTGCGATGAAGAAACATAATGAATCACATCAGCCTCAGCATGGGGCACTATATATATATATATATATATATATATATATATATATATATATTCCAGGAAACCGTCTCCATTTTTTCTAATGTTTCCATTTTGTTTCCCTTGTTCTATTCCTTGAAGTTAGGTACACCAGTAGTTCTAAGGCAATCGCGAAGTCAACAGCCGTTCAGTTTCTTGCTTTTTTCAACGTAACACATCTGGACCATGACATTTTGCGGCGGTTTGTGTCCGTCTATGATCTGATGACCTTTGCTGGGTTGCCTTCATCAGTTGTCTTCGGTGCCACCTTCCTCATGCATCGCAATGATTGTTACTTATGCAAACTCATTCCCATCGAATGTTTGGAATAAGTCATTAACCCTCTTCCCTCAAGATAACCACGAAGACATCAGCTACCAGTTTTAATTAAAGTTATTGCTATAAACCACTGACACTGCGGGTTTTCCCGCACAATCGGAGAACACACCGTCACCAAGCCGTGTTATCTTTAAGTTTAAGAAATAACCGTTAGTCGTGCCCCAAGGGTTACGTCATCCACTTGCACTGAAATCTCCATATTTTCCGATCACCCATGGCTTTAATTTTATGTTCTTTCTCCAGAGGTGGACGAAGATGTGCTTAGTCGATTGCGTAAACATGCGAAGGGTGCAGCCAAGCGAACTGTGAAAAACCCGAGACCCAAGCTTGACCCGCAAAGGCAAGTATATCTCCTCAGATTCGTACAACTGTATCTCTCTTGTGTTCTTCTTGCCCTCATTTTGTTCCGACTTATCAGAAGATGGTTACAAGGTATTCAGCGGGATGTTGATCAACCCGCGTGACAGTAGCCTAGCCATATTTCTTTCCACCGGAACAGCAACTCAACACTAGTGCCACGCATGATGTGCGCTTTTCCCCTCCCGATAATTCTACTAACAACCGTAAATAGCCGGCAAAACGGCGTTCACACTTAAATATATGTGTACTGAAAAGCATTCCCGTTTGAACAACCAGCTTCCGTTGGATATCTATTTGCTCTTTAATTCCGAGGCGGACTCTGTGCGTTTTTAACCCATTTTACCGTTTTTATTAGTCCTTTTAACGGTCTGCATGAACAGACCAATGTTATGTTGCTGTCGGTTCCGTGATGAAAACGCACACGAAAATTACGCACAGCGACAAGCGTACAGATATACATGCGCACACACAGAAGTGCCCACATGGAAAGATGTTCAGAGGGAAAAATTATTGCTGTCTGAAAATTTCCCCGGTTTGCTTGATTGTGATATGTGAAATATTAATCAATATTACTTTTCCCACTTACACTTAGGTGGCCAATGCGAAAAGTTGACTGTATGCTGAAATGCTTTGTCTGAAACGAGTCACTTGCGCACCTGTGACGCGGTCTACTGCATGCACTCCCCTAGCCAGCATGTTTCACAGATGTCGTTTTACAGCGATTCTCTCTTATATACACACAATCAAAGCGCGCCCCTCCTTCATTTATGTTTATTCTGAACTGAGCTTACAGCCGTGAAATGCCCACTTTCAGATTAAGATCGGTTAACTCACTGTTAATAAAGAATTCATTTTAAAATAGATTGTGATGTCCCGGCACACATAAATCAAACAATATGAATACAGGATTTGCTTGTACGATTACTGCTTTCCAACGTGTGTTTCTCAAAAGTCCTCTTACATCACTGTTACAAACGTTCTTGATTCGGTTTCGACTGTCCTGAACGGACGAATTCTTCACTCTTTGGTTCCCATGCGCAGAGTAGCCTAGACGATTCGAATTGGAACGGCTAGTGAATTTAGCCGGCAGACGTGAACTCGTAACTGATAAGGCAAACGGAACCCGTAACGGCGAGACCCGCAGAAAGAAGACTGACCAGTGGTAAGAGTGCTTTACTGTCTCAATCAAGGCAATCGTGCTTTCTGCACCTTCATATTTATAGTTCATTAAAACAGTAGTAATTGTGTAAACGATTAGTGAGGGTGTAACTTTGTTGTGAAAAAATATATCAGCTTTGTGCCATAACGGCATTTCGCTGTCGCGCGACCACCACCAGTGGCGCGCGGGCTGAGTATACCACGAGGATGCTCACCCCTACGCGGATTCGAACCGGCGACATTATTGTTGCAAACCGAGCCCACAGACCACCGGTCGACATAAGTTTGTTGGCACATGAGTTGCCATGTAGTTATCCTATCTCCAGGCATAGATGGGAAGTTCAATGCTGTTGCGACGTTGGGCACGTCACAGTTGCTGAGTTTGCTCGGTTGTTAAGTCATTGGCATGATCACGGCTCAGGAGACAGACGGCTGACTTGAGGAGAGTTCTGGAGACACGATTGTGAGACTAAGGTGAGTTCATTGAAATCTATGCGAGGTACGTTGGCCGTATTCTCACTAAGGACAACTCCGTTTTGATTTGTGCAAACGAATGGGCCCTTGCCGGCAGTTTCCGTGTGGCGAGCTCCGCTCCGAACTGAGTAGTTTGGATCTCTGAATAGCAACCATGTTGTTCGCGTCCGCAGTGTACTGACTTTTGTGAGACCCGAGGTGCGTTTTGCATGGCGTAACAGCCCTGTAGCAACCACCGACTGGAACAAATTTAGCGCAGCCAGGGTTTTGTGTTTGCATTAGTTTCAAATGCACTCTTTATTCCGGCGTCGCTAATCTTCCTTGTAAGGCTGTATCACAAGTGAGTTCATTGTCTGGAAAGACGGTTCTCGCTGCGTCCGTGGAAACCTTCATAAAGTCCTGTAGTCATTTTAGGTGTCGAATCAGACAGCAACAGTTTCATAATTTCAAACATTCTAATTTGAGCCTCCATATTTTTCCTGCAACGAAATATACATACAAGATGGATAAGAGTTGTCCACGTTGGTGCGCCCGGGAGATTTTATAACAATATGCGAATATTGCAGGCAAAGTTCAAAAGTGGCATCTTGTTAGTGCCACAAACAAATAACATGATCAACTATGACTAATTTGCCAAGACGCTGCAATTTGAGGACTTTAAGTCGCCGATTTTCCGTGTGGATATTTTTCAATGTGGGCATTCCTTCGTGTGTGCTTTCTTCCGGTCACTTTGCTGTATAGTTATCCGCACGTCTTGGCTGTAGCTATTACATTTCTCTTCTTCCAATCTCGTCTTCAGGCTGCTCAGCGACAAAGGCCTCCCGGCGTTGTTGAATGACTTCAAAAAAGTACATTTCCGTGGAAAGGGCTTCGAGGTCAGTCCACTGTTTACGCCGGTACGCTCACGTGTCCCTGGGTTGATTGTGTTGTCAAGTGCCAACCCCAATATACGTTGGTTGGTGTTTCCCTCTGCCACTTGGTCTATGTTCTCCGAATCGGTAGGGTGGAACACTAGGCGATTTCTCAGGTGTACTCCCCGGACAACTTGGCTGTAATCCACCTGCGATGCTGGAGCTCCTGTTACCTTGGACGATGCGGTGCAACGCTGCCGCATAGCGCTGACCAGGAAACTTAATCTCCCCTACAACTAATGAAAACTAACAGTACAATTTCAACAGAGAATGAGACAACTCTTCTGTGCATCCTGTATAGGTGGGGACGTTTCGAGACACATTGTGTGAATTGATTGCGACTCCATTCCAATGTGGATCGCGGTGCTCGTTGAAGTAAACTTTTTTCACTTCGATTACTTGGACCGTAACTGATGAAGCAAGTTGATATTGGGTGTTGCCCGCTCGGTCACGAAATTGGCTGATCTTACTTGGTAGAAATAGCAGGCATTCATGCCCGGGACCGTTGGGAAGTTGGCTGTGCTTTCTACTCCTAAGCCATCAGGTCAAGACGAGCTACGCTTGTTACCACGGTTAATGACTGATCGGAATGGTCATTTGGAAGCACTTGTTGTTTAGCTACTTCATTAATTACCATCCCAGTGATCGATTTGACCAATCTTTCCGGATTCCGCAGCAATCGGCTTAACAGCTTACATACCACCTCGATCAGTAGTGGATTGCAAAGAAAGGCGTTGCTCTGGGGGCCAGCCTTGTCTTCGGCACGCTCATGACATACTTGGCAGTGGAGTATGAGCCGCGCTATATCGCAGTTAGATAACAGTTTTGGCGGCCAATCGCCGTCTCTCATGGCTCAGTAGCATAAGTCCTTCGCTCGTAAGAGTAAAGTCATGGGCTCTATTCCCGCAGGATTCAGCGGGTGCACATTTCTGACGTGTCACAGTAGGACAAAACAGCCGTCTAGCGCTTTCCTGAATGTGTGATGGTTGTCTACCTGATTGCAGCTGCGATTAATCTTCTCAAAAATCACTATAAATCTTCCATCGGTTTACGCATATTGGTAGCTGTATCATTTATAACCTGATATCGCTGAAGAGACAGCTAGGCATGTGGCTTAGACTTGCTTAACTTTTCAAGGCGACCACTTGTGAGGTGGTCGGCTGGCGGTAGGCGTACTAGCTAAGGGAATGGTTCACGGCACTGGGTTGCGGTCACTTTTACTCTTGTTCACTGCGCGTTGATAACGCTGGGAATCTAAAAATGTTTGCTCTCCGATGATTGCTCATGTCTGTTGGGAAAACCGCAAAAGTAACAGCAACATAAGTGCCTTATTGGATTTGCTCTTGAGTGCAGATCGCCTCCAGTCTTGTACTGGCCTCGTATGATGTTGTCGCCTAAGTTGCACTGTGTGTTGTGTTGCAGTCTCTGTCAATCTTTTAATCCTATCAAATACTTCACTTTCTACCCATTCGAGTTAGCAGTTCACAAGAAAGATATTTCTACCACCAAACCGGAAAAAGTCCGTCTGGCGCTTTTCTGGATGGGTGGTCGGATTATCTAGCTTACGAATAAAAATTCATTATGAATCATACTACTCATTAGTAACTTCTAATTGTCTGTGTTGTTTACATTCTAGTTCCAAGATCTGGATCGTCTATTGTTCGTTTACAAAGCTTGGGCTAATCGTTTGGTGCCGAAAGCCAATTTTCCTGAAGTGATCGAGCGGTTAGAAAAAGCTGGCACTCGTCGCGAAATTCGAGTCGCTCTCCATCGGTTACGTACTGGAATTTGGCCCCCATATGCTAGCGCAGAACATGTGTCCAATGATGATGATTCTGACGCACAGCCCCAGCAACTAGATGATGTTGAAGACGAAGAATTGGCATGGGAACGCGCACTTCGAGAAGTTCCCAGACCTAACGTTATGGTGTGTTTGTAATCTCTGCATTCTCCTATACGTATTCGTTACTTCGCAGTTATTGACCTAATGCCCACTTAGGTAGTCTGAGAACGACGCATTCTACTGAACCCACGTCCTTAAGTATTCTCTGGATTACCATTCCGAGAGATTTCTTGTTCGAGGTGCCTTGCCTCTAGCCTTTGACTCAACAGTCTGACCCACAAGGTGGTGGGGTACATGGAGGTTGGCTTGGAGGACTCCATGTGGAGATTTTGGCTCGCTAGCCTGACCCACAAGGCGGTAGGGAGCAAGTCCAGTTCGGGAGTGTGATTGCAGGGACCAAATGGGATCTGCTTGGGGCCTGTCACACACTACTTTTGAAGATTTAGAACAATGTACACGTGTCTTGCGATCGTATTTTGTTGTACTCCTGCGACCACGGCCAGTCGCAGAAGGGAGTTGGCGGATTTGCACCAATTTCACCAGGGCTGTATGGCTTGTGGTGAGCGGTAGCGAGCTATTGAACACCGGATGGTGCCCTCCCACCATCAGGCACAATGCGTGGCGCTCGTATTCTACGCCAATTGACCTGTGAGCTTATAACCTGTAGACCTGTTGTCTCCCACGACTAGGTTTTAAAGGAAGAGGGCCATCGACCTCTCCCTAACCTCCGAAGAGGGTTGGATTGCGAGACTGTCTGCCCTGTAACTATTGACCTGTCTGGTATGGGTGGTTCTGAAAGTGCTATCCAGCACAGCTCAGGGCTCATGGCGATGCGCAAACCATCGCACCACGCTAAGATCCAGTCTGGTTGCGACGGCTTCGGATTACAAACTCGCCGCCTGAATCACTCGGTCACCAACCGGTCTCCTATCATGTTCAAACCTCGTGGACTAGAACAAACACCCCTCAGATCTCTAACCACTTAACGTAGTTCGAATTCTCCAAAGACCAACTACTGCTGATGGACGCGCTTGTACCCATTGGCTTAGGAAAACTCATCTCTCTAGTCTGTGCTCATCAGTACTGCTCGACTTCTTACCGGATTCCTGGGTCTTATTACTCGCTTGGTTCTATGTTCTCAGTGGGCGCTTGTTATCGTCAATTTCGTGCGTTTTCTACCGACTTGCCTGCCCCATAGCGACTCATATTCCTGTTTTCGTTCCACTTTCTAGCCGGCTTACGAGTCAATGGATACGTCGTCCTTTATTGCCGCTCCAACTGAACCGAGTGAGCCCGCCGATAGTTTAGTCCCTTCTACCTCCGGACCATCCGCCACTTCCATTGAATCTGCGGAAGCGCGGGCAGAGCGCAATCGTCAACTCGCTCTTCAACGCTTGGAAGCTCACCGAAAGCTTTCGAATTTATCTCAGACTAACACGGTCTCACGTATGTTTACCTCGTGTGAATGATTTGATTATGTCATCTAAAATGTGTCCTCTGGTCGTTCACCACAATGCGGCACTAGTTTCCTCGCCTTTAGATTGCAGAATAATTGCTTTTCAATTATAAATCGTGGTCAAATTCTTTAATACTACATTATCTAAAAAGGAGAAATGAGGCTCAAGTTCCTCGAGCTTTCGCATCATACAATGAGCAGTTTTCTGTGGTCACCTTTTCCTCTTGATGCAGTGTTACTATGTTTGTGTTTCTAATCCCCATGGACAGCATGTTCTAGCTTCTAAATCCACCATTATATTCGAACTAAGCAATTTCCTTTGTATTCCTAAACAGGAAAACCAGAAGACGTTGTTTTTAAGACTACGTCGTCATTTCGTGCAGTCTTATCCATCACAAAGATGCAGCGTTGATAGGCCAATCAAAACGGTATCACAAGCGCTTGCACTACCACGGTAGCTTTAGAGCACGCGTATCCAAAGTCCGCCCGGCGGGCCAAATGCGGCCGCGTTAATATTTCAACTAGCCTGCGGCCTCGTCATGAAATACTAAATTCAGGCTTGGATTCTTTCGGACTTAATCTGGCCCGACTTATTTTTACCTCACAAAATGTGGCCCTCCTTGCAAATTGTTTGGATACCCCTGACTTGGAGCCAAGTCATTTGTTTTTTGTATGCACAGTGATGAGCACTTGCCATCTTTAATGATGGCCTCCAGTGACCTAACAATGTGGGCTACTGGTAGCACATTAGGGTGATGAACGACTCGTCAGGACTGACTCTTTGACCGGTGGTCAGAATTGCCTTGTGACTGCCGAGGCTGCTCGGTTCTACCATTCAACCGATTCCGTCTTCACCGATCCCATCCGGCTGCATGACCACTTTAGGACGTGTTCATTGATTCTGACATCTGCACTTCGGTCAGCGCGCCCAAGATAGCTATCTTCATAGCTACAGGTGAATTTGTATGGATAGAGATACGTGCATTGCCTTGTATTCAATTTCTTAAGCAAATACATAAGCGCAGTTCCCTCCTAGTATACGCATTTTTTCCAGAAGCACTTATTCGCTTCTCAGTGACCTTCATATTGTGGTCGTCTTTAAAGACATTACAATATTGGCTTTTTTGGTACTGTTGGCATATGCTTTCGCTTGGTTGTCTCACTGAGCCGCTTAATAAGTTGATACGGATAATCGTTGTATTGTAGCATATAGAACAGTAGATCTCTCTGATTCCATGGTATCTGGGGTGTAGATCATATGGGTCCGTTTAAGGCGTCCGGACGAGACAACGTTTTTGTTGAGTATAGGTGAAACTCGTAAATTGCAAATGCTGACCAGTCCTGCTTGACTTTCTGTAGACAGACCTTCTTATGGAACCGTCCGGCCACCGTGTAATCAATACATCTATGGAAGACAATTGTTTTGCTCATTATTACGCGTTAAGGTTCTGGCGCATCTGTTGAGTGTCTCGGTCGCATGTGCGATGTTCACCCCCGAATCCGTGGTTGGCAGTACATCACCATCGTCGTCGTCGATCTTATAAAATTATTTGTCTATTCTTCAACTACACTCAATTAAACCTGATATTGTGCATAAAAAAGCAATCAGCAGCCCCATTTTCTTAACCTAATGAGGTCATTATTATCGATCATGGACGCTCTCCGCTAAGTATTCAAAAACAGCTGACTGTGGCTCTAAATTTTCCATAGTAGCGCAATCGTTTGGCCATTTACGATCTCATATCGCCCTGTGCTGGTTTATCTATCATTGTTGCATATTTGTGATTGGTAAGAATGCGCGAAATGACTGAGTCGTCTCAGATTTTGTTTTTTGTTTTTCCTTTTTGGACTACTTTCTTCTCCGCTTTTGGTGGGCCATACACGCTGATCAACATTTGTATACTTGCATTGTCGCGATGCACTTTGTTAGATGTACAGCACTTCCTTTGAGGAGCGGCATTTTATAGCGAACTGGGACGATAATCACTATAACACGGTTTATTGCGGTCGCAGGTTGGGATGTCAACTCAAGTGGTTCAGTTGCAATAGGAATAGTCCAAGTGTTCTCTTGTGCCTCATCGCATTGACAGATAAGCCATATTGATGACGATGGGAGAGTGAAGTTACACTTTCCAATTGTATCCGCGCATCGACACTCGTCAGACTGGGCGAATTAAGATCGTTCACCACTGTTTCCATTCTATTCACGCAGGTGCCGGATTTAGCTATGTTCACCATTTGAGTTACCTACTGATTCATCGGTCCTGACAAATCTTGCGCATCTAAAGCGAAATGTCTAACAAATACTACTAATGAATTAGTAAGGATTTTGCTATAATTCAGAAATAACTCATCACGGTCCACTCTCAGTCAGCAGGCGTTGTCTTGTCTTTAAAAGCACCAGATAACGCTGCTTCGACCTTCTGAGTTTTGTCAGTGGTGCGCCTTCCATCGGACCCCTGCTAGGTTCCAACCCTTGATTTTAACTGAGCTTAAGTAGACGGTTGTAAAAATTGCAAAGAAAACCAAACAAATACTGTTCTTATTTTGCGTCACTAATTATAGCTGCTTTGACTGACAAACATCCGCTTTCCCATTTGTTTCATCTTATCGCTATGCGACATTGTTACCTGTTAAACATTGCGGGATTCGCAGGTTCAAATGATCATGGGTAGGCAGATTTATACATCGTCCACAAATCCGGAGAACCGGCAGGAGTCGAGTGAACCTTTTATTTTCCCCGCGGTGTTTGTACTTCTTAGGAGGTATATCTCCTAGGATGACTTTGACAACCACATCATTTGGGCCGGTGGCAGTTCATGGATTTATTTGCAGTCTTATGCCACTTGTGCGGCTACTCCTCCTTCCGAGGATCTCATTATAAACTAGCATGCAAACATCTGTTTTGGTTTCCAATTTATTGCAACCACTTGTCGAATTCGACAGTCCTCTTCTCCCTATATCCACTCCGAGGCCCGTGAAATGTGTCTTACTTGAAATGAGAACCCGGTTACATTCTTCCAACCGACGTAGACTCCCTCTAAAACTTTCCATGGTTATTCAAATTACCTCAAACAGCCACGGGGACCGCACTTCATAGTCGGTTTTTCGCTATGCGTGTGATGCAACCTTGAATGCTGTCTGACAGTTTCTACCCGAATGTCGCATCCTACTCTTCTTCAGTTCGATAGAAGCTTGAGCGGAATTATGGAAATACGGCTTTGTTAGTTGCGAACTCCTGACCACTTCACTTAGTTTGTTTTAAGCTATTTTCGTCCCAGTTAAGAACATAGCGAACAAGAATGAAAATGATCACCTGGAGACCGCATCGGATTATTCTTACTCGACTTTCTGTATGGGAACTTTAATGCAGCCACATTTTTGGCCGGTCACTATTGGATTTGGGGCAGTCACGTGGTTGGTTACGATCTTGCTCCCGCTTCCTTGTTCCTGACCTTTATTGTTCCATCCAGCGACTTTTATCCTGCCCGTTGCTCCGCCATTATTGTTATTATTTTACTCTTAACGGTATGAGCCATGATCGCTTCATCCATCTGCACATAGGGATCAAATTTGACGAGCTTAACCTGGTAGCTGACTTTATCGGACCTTAGCTTTATTTTCGTATTTTGTCAACACCACCTTACCAACCATTGCTATCTTGCGTGCACCACTGAAGGGGTTGGGTGCTGGGAATGCCTTGGTTGTTAGTGTTCGGCAGGTTGTGTTTTCAATCAAATGCTTCTTCGTTTTTCTGTAGGTACACCTCTGAATTTCTGTGCATAATCTTTGAGTTATTACAGTTCTTAATCCCTTATCTGATCCCAATAATACGGTATTTTTATTTCGTCGCAAATGCATCAAGTTTTCCCCGTGATCTTTTAGTTTCGGTTCCAGTAGCACAGCCAACACTCTCCATTTGCGGCGTTGACGCCTAATTTGGCAATAGTTCATACATTTTTGCTGACTGAAGCTCAGCACACACTTGTACGGGTCGCCGTCGGCCCGTAGTCTTAAGGATCACAAGCATGCCTTGTCATGTGAGGGCGCGGGTTTTAGCCTGCCTAGGGACCAGACGACCCTAACAGTATCCTTAGCCCACGTGCGACCGTTGGTGATTGCGCAGCAGCGAAGCGTCAGCACTGCTGATGCCTGTTCGGGAATTGCAATCCAGTGACAACACGCACGCCACCTGGACTGAGATTGCTGACGGTTGTTGTACTACTATGAGTAGTCATTGAACAGTCGCCATTTCTCAAACTGACTCCCACCACGGACAATCACCTCCAGCAGCTTATGTTTGTTCGTTGTTTGGTGCATTTGATCTCAAGGTAATTTCCTTGCTTCCAGATGACTACGAAAAAGTTGGGGCAGACATAACATCTTCGAAATCGGCTTCCCAACCCATGAGCTCATGCACTGTACTCTACCGTTCGGGTACGCAACAATGTCTGTGGACCAAGTTGGTTTCTTTTAAGTGAAGAGATCTGTTGTTGTGTGTTTAACATCGTGGGACTTAGACCTGAGGCTTCGTTCATATCAACGCCATCCTAGAGGTTAGCGAAGGATGAGGAACGTCTCATCTATTAGTTCCATTACAGTACAATTAACTGGTGGTAAACGAAAGAAAACGATGAACAACAACAAATGCTAAACAATAATATTATTATGCTCTGTTTTTTATTTGCATCTGTGTCGGGATCGTGGTTAGTGTGCGGCTAGGTGGGATGGAGCTGGCTAAGGAAGCTCACTACTCAAACGTCATTGTAGTCGTTTCTTCGCCATGTCAACAAACGAATGCAAGCAAATGCATTCCTCGTCTCTGTTGGCAATTCACATTTATATCTTTGCACTTGGGCGCGTTGAATGCTGGCTTTCAGATAGTCCATATGTTATATGTATGTATATTTATCGTCTTTACGAGTTACAGTCCAATTACTTGACTTGATCCTTTAGTGTAACATGATTTCAAAAGGATGTTTCAAACTTTCTAGAGCCGTCCCAGGTCAGACTTTCTTTGGAGTTCGATCCGTAAAATGGTAAAAAGGAATCTTGAAGGTAGCATGAAAGTGCTTATTGTTACGATTGACGGATGCCTGATAAGATTGTTACTGGCACGGTTGGAGCACGCCTACGGTAACGGCTTTGAACGCTGGCCAATCGAACGGATTTACGCTTAGCCCGGGCTACGCGCTGGTGTGACGGAATTTGAGCGAGCGTGAGAACGATTTTAGCCGCACGTATTCGGGTAGACGCTGAGCCCTCGGAACGGACGCACACGAGAGGGGGTTACGGTAGACGCGCGCTAGTGACAGACGCGAACGCTGCCCGGCTATCGACGCACATAAAATCACGTGACCCGACCGACTCCTAACTATGGCGAAGAGGAAGAAAGGCAAGTGGTCCTCTGAAGGCTCTTTTACCACCAACAAAGGGCGCATCACTGCCAATGTAATGGGTCATTAAGTTATGGAAAATTGCTACCACGACGGGGTGGTAGTTTGTAAAAGAACATTGTCAACAGGTGCGCACTTGTGCGGCATCTCGGAGTGGCTGAACACTGCTACGCTGTGGGGAGGAATTGGACCCCGCTTTCCACAGCCATTACACCGGAGTTTGGGGCTCGTTTTTGCGGGGATATTTGACGGACCCGCAACATTATTGAAAATTTTCAAAGGAATTAATACGGCTATTCGTGGAACCGAGTCCTGGAGACTTGCTTCCATGCGGGGTTTCATCCACACTTCCACTCCCCATTTGTCTTCGTGTCTGTGTGGCATAACAGCAAGCGAGCCATCACCATTTTAGCCCATGGTTGTGGCCGTTACAGATAGTGCATGATAGATTTGCAGATAAATGCGCTGTTTTTCTTTGTATACTCTTTCAAGTCATTCAGCTCATTTCGGCTTCTTACTGTTTCAAGTCCGACACTTGTTACCCAACGAGTGTGTGCCTATTTGCCTTGAGTAAGCATCTTTATTCTCACCAGTAGGTCTCTGTCAATTCTCCACAAACGGGTGTATTAAATAATCCGGAGGCTTCATTCCGCCACCTCAGTTGATCAACGCAGTCATAGCCAACAAAGGAAAAGTGCAGTATAGGATGTGGCGAAATACAAATATCGATAAATGGGTGGTATCTATCCGACAAATTCTGCTTCAGGATCAGATTTAGATTTGTTCTCCGAGCCGAACCATTTCGTTGCAGACGTTTCATCACCAATCGAGGTGACTTCGTCAGTGCGTACTAAGCTTCAGGCTGTACATACCGTTAAAGTAGAAAAACAAAAAATAAAGATAAAAGCGACTCTATAAACGCTCTTAAGATAGATCCAACGCCTCCAGGCAATCGAATTGTGGAGTAATTGATATGGAAAATGAACTTCACAAAATATCAAATATTGCCACGGGTAGTCTAGTTGTTTTCTCCTGGAAACAAGTGACAAGAGTTAGCAGTGCGAGGCTACTTCCTCCAGAATATGGTTTTCATGTTTTCCACAAAAATTGCGGTACCCATCCCCTACCGCTTTTTGGTTGTATTCTACCAACTTGTTTTCAGCGGTTTGGATACCTTGCATTTCTCATAGCAGACGTATTCCTTCAGTTCTCTGGCTCCATCAGTAAAGGTACACATGACCACTAGCGGTTTGCGCACCCCTGACTATCCCCAATGGGCGAAACGGACGTCTGGTGCTTAGATGAAGCAATAAAATAGAATTTCGCTACCAACATCTCGTTTCCCAACTTATTCTCTCAACAAAGGAATTCACTGCGTACATCTTTTTCCTCAGGCAGATTTCACTTTAGGGGGAGAGAAAATGGACCCCTGTAGATTGTCTTAACTTTGCGTTCGTAATGATCCTGTGCTTTCTCTATTTCACGTCACCACTTGCTTTCCTCTGCCCCAGAAGTGACAGTGATCGAATACTTGTCCTTCAGTTCTACTGTGATATTCCATTGTAGTCCTTTCTCGTGTCTTCTATGCTTGGCCTTCATCTATAACAATGGCACCACTTTCTTCCCTTGCAGCCAATGTATCTTTGCTAAAGTCGGCCTTTGTTGCCTCACTTGTGTCCGACGCCAACCCCTCAAATGCCTCTGGCCCCCTGCACTCACCGTCCTGTGCCGTACTCCCGTCAGTCCCCCGGATCAGCGACACGGATGCCCCTGATTACTCAAGTGGTGACACTCGGCAAACGTCCACCATTGATACCACCGTGTGATGATGGTGTAGAAATCTCCTTAAGGTACCATCTTGTTGGTTCCAACTTTCATTTGCTGACTGTCTATCGCCGACCCCTCTGTGACGCTTTAGCTAAGGTTGTTTGTATGACAGTTGGGTCACTGTGTTGGCATCTCCGTACTTCTGCTTAGTTTATCATAGAGCAAGTACGTGTTCTTTTTCGCTTACTCTGTTAAACTTACCCCTTCAATGCTCTATGCAGTCATTACCGCTTAATCAAATGACATCTAGATATTGTCATTGCGATCTGCCTACTCAAACACATTTTTGCTTTTTTCTTCACTTTCAGAAGACACCGTGGCTCTACGGTCCAGCCACTGTTCATCGTTAGGGTCCCTATGCGTTTCTGGAATTAAACTGCACAAATGCAGTCTGTCAATACTACGTACAGTTGCATATGTACCACTACTCTTTCCACGGACAGCTGACATCAAGGAACCGTTGGAGTCCCCATACTTTTCACTACGAACTCTCTCTTTCTCCACAAATAACACTTATCCACATGATCATATTCTTAATTTACTTGCGTCAAACTGCGCTTTATAGGACTTGGAATACTCTCAATAAATCGTGGGCAATGCTGGTCTTCAGCAAAGCACAGATTCCCGTTTCATTATTATGAATCAATATCAGAAATCAGTTCAGGGTGAAGAATTCTTTTCGGTAAAGTCTCTTCGGACCCAAACGTTTACATTACACTGATTGTGTGGGGTAAGCGTCAACTCCGGATGGGATTGACTTCTCTACTGTTTGAATGATCAAAATCGATAACTTGACACAGGGATAGAAATGGTAAACCAAGTAAACTAAATAAACATGCATACGCAAATCTCAGTAGTCCGAAGTAATTAATTAGGTAAGATAACAACCAAATCACTAAGTAACGGTGTCCGTTGGCCAAGGTAGTAGTATCGGCCGTTTGAATCGTTTTTGTACACCTAATTCCGGCTTCAGATGGTAAATGTAGATAGCCTCGGCGATGGATAAGAGCGGCTTGCGGAATCCTTGTAAGAAGTGTTCAGCTAGTGAGTAGATGACTTTGAAGTCATTCTCTGAAGCTGTATAGTCACATTCAAGGAGGTGTGACATCATTGAGCTGTCTGAAGACCTCGTTTCGCCTTTTTAAAACCATGCCGGGATGTGTTCAAGAATCCTCTGAGATAGGCGCCTCGTAGTGCGACCCACGTATCGTGCACCACAAGAGCACGAGTACTGATAAACGATCATTGAACGGGTCAACGACGACAGTCTATCCTTCAAGGGTTTTGTAAGCAACGTCTTGTTGTGAAAAACGATTTTCAGGCAGGCCGCGAAATAAGTTTTTTTCAGCAGCATCTTTCATGCGTCGGGATAACATATCAGCTGCAGAATCACCCTTAAAGGATATATGTATGAAAAGTTCTTTCTTAGGAGTAATACTCGTAATTGGCTTTCGATTGCGTTCCTTCAAATGCTTCATGATAAATTTATCGGCATAACCATTTTCCCTGAGCGCGTCGCTGATTCTCTGTAGTTCTTCGTTGACGGTATCCGGTGTACAAATAGTACGCGCCCTGAAGGCGAGAGATCTGATTAAACTTCGTTTATGCTGTAGAACTACTGCGCTGTGGAAGTTAGTGTACTTCCCAGTCCAGTCGCGAGAAAAGGCTGCACCCATTTTTGTAATTTGTTTTCTTTTTATGCTTACGCCGCTCATCGTATAGTTGCGATTATATAAGAGCACCTTTGTCCATGTCGCATAAATTCTTATCTGTTCACGATTAGAGTACGCAGGTCAGTTCTAACTCGGCTATCTGTTGCAATGGGTCGCATTTCTATCTGATGCAATCATTTGGCAATGCGTTTAGCTATACCCGCTCCATGACTCACGCTTTGTCAGAGCCTATTCCATATGTTACTATGAGCACTGCTACTTGTGAGTCTAGGACTAAATAAATGTAGCTGTCATTGTGTACAACAGTCGGCTACCATCAATTGCTGTTTAACTCGCCTTGTACTTTCCCCACGCGTTCAATGTTGAATTTTGGAGTGCTCGCGATCCCAATGACCGGCGTTGACTTCAATATTAACAAAGGTTCCAATAGTGATGACGTTGCTCACGGATTATGATGGCCATCAGCCGTTAAGCATTAGGCCCTGGGTTCCAATCCCAACTCACGCTCTCCACCTGATTAGTCCAACTGAGGGCGAAATCGGTCGTGAGGGGTCAGTGTTGCGACGAACAACATCGAAGTCCCTCCATTTCGGTCACTGCCCTGGTGACCGGAATGGTCGAGTTCTGTTTCAAAGTAAATCATGGTGTGTCATAGAGATCGCATGTCGCAATTCAACACAAACGGTACTCAAAAGCTCAACCTTAAATCCTTTAACCTTGCCGCTAATGCGCAGCGTCTATAGCATCAATCAGTGCAGTCGCATGATACGATCAATACGTGCCTGCCAGTTAACCAGCCCTCACTAATTTCCACTACCGTGCGACATAACTCCACTATCGATCATCCGAATGATTAACGCAGGACCGGCACAGTTCACGTCACTCTATTCATTCAAATGATTCTATTCCGCGAATGCTGACTATCGGGTCAGCCGTCATCACCATGGTCACAACATCAGTCCTCTCTCTCCTCGATTCAACCTGTTATCGGCTACACTGTGTTAGGCCCTTGGTCCACAATGCGTGAACTTGTGATCGTATTCAGGCCTCGTCCTGTGAGCACACCCCCATTTTGTGTCACAAGTTCAGCTAACCTTCGATTTCTCTTCGTTTGAAGTGATGTCCAACCACCAGCATTTCATCTGATTCTGTTTCTCATCTTAGCGGTCAGGTCTCGTCAGTGTGTCTTTTTGAGCGTTTCCTTTGATTTTTTCTCACGATTGCTGCTCAGCGGTCACATGACGCATTTCACCATGGTTTTGCGCTTCTTTCCTTATTTGTGTAATTACATTTTACTAGGTTAGTTTTGCGATTTACGGCTCTTCGCTTGATACTTTTGTTAGCCTCATGTAAACAGTTGACATCTCTCACTGGACGGTGTATGATTACTACTGCCCTATCGTAAATAATTGACGTACTCCAATACTGGACTTAACATATACTATGTAATACGTGCCTTGGTTATCTTCTTGGTACTTTCACAGTGATTTCATGGTTTTTGATTGCTCCATATCTATTCGTAAACTTGCAAATATATACAGTGTAAAGTGTCGTTTAAGGACCGAATTGATACCTAGTTTGTCCCCTTTTTACTGATCTGCATCAGCTATCACCGAAGCACTTTCTAAGCATTTTGCCAAGAATCATGTTAATTTTCATCAGTGGAGACGACGTGATATTAACTCATCATTCAGTCGTGTGGGGCGTGTCGTTACAATGCAGTCATCGTCACCGCACGGATTGGCGACATTATCACGATTGGAAGTCGTCTCTAATCACCAGTACGCGTGAAATAGTATTTATATTTGGTGGAAGCGCAAGTTAAATAAACCCGTGATCGTATGGTTGGTGTTCTATACCGGATTCCGTATTACCGCGTTGTGATATCCGTTTCACTTGAACCGTGTCTTCACACGCCTGCCGATCGGAAGCTTTGGCATGTGCCGTTTACCAGAAGCAACTGTTTCATGATGTGGGGTGTGAGATTGAAAGGGGTCGTTGTCTGTCGCCGCCCCGGATGGATGTCTCGGGATGTTAGGGGTCAAACTGAGCGAGCGCTTCCCCAGAGTGTTTGACACTAGACCGTGCAGACAGAAGAAACGGGCTTCACGTGGGACACGCGAAAAGCCATCTATTTATGGAACACAGCTACGATGTGAGTGACTGACGAACTCGCGTGGGCGCTGACTGAGTGAATGGAAGTCGTGTCTTGGCACGAACGAACAGCCAAAGATAGTGAAGCAATCTCACGGAACGCGTTCACATTGGTGTAGCCCAGGGCGCCGGAGATGCGTGGATCATTGTTACAAAAATTGAAATGTTTGACTAACCAGTGGATAAAATCGTCTCTCATAGAACACATGTCGTCTTTCGAGCCTTGATTTTTCTTTTCACAGTTGGATTGGGCGCCACTTAGAGTAAACCGTGGGCAGCCGTCCCTGCATGCGAAGCGTTACAGCACTGGACCAGTCAGATCATATGTTGCAAATGGGGGCTTTGTCGAACCTCGGGATTTTGCACTGGTACATGTTTCTGGCTCTTCCGCGGCTTGTGCCGTTTTTCCAGATTCCACCCGTATTGTACAGTTTTCTCTTTCCTTTGGGATTACCACTAAAACTGCCACACTTTGAAGTGCAATCGGAAGAGGATATCGACACCACGCTGGCATATTGTAACGGCGGTTCGCCTCAAAGCAACCATCACTGGTGGGGCATGTGCTGCGTATAGCGCGACGGCAACCGCACCTACACGGATTCCAACATTTGACCTCAGGATTCCAACCCAGTCGTGCAATTCTTTCGGTCACCGACAGTGGTACAGTTGTAGTTGGACTACTAAACTGAATTCCGTCTGATCCACAACATCAACAGTGTGTCGCAGTGAAATCACCCCTTACATTGTGTTTACGTCGGATATTGTGCCCATCATATACTCTGAAATGCTTAATTCACAAACCACACGAATTGTAATCCATTTTTTCCTAATCTTGACTGCATAGTAAACTTTCGGTAGACCCAGGGCAGTCGCCTAGGAAGCTTATGCAACCTGCTTGGTTTTCGCACCCTGGAATATAGCTGATAGTGCATTTGTCGAATAATACCGATTGTTCTCAACAGCCGTATCTCGATGATGGAGTTTTGAGTAAAAATCTACATCATTCCCATAATCGAGCGATGGCACGTAAGCATTGACCAAATGGCCCTACTCTTACTACGGGCCCCACTATTGTGGTCTTTAAAAGAACCGCTAGGTTTACGATTGTTTCTAGGTCTCATTTCACCAATGTAAAACAAAGTCACTGTGAGGCCACAATATCGGATTTTTCTAAGTTCGTCCATGTCTTTGTGTCTTATCGGGGCATACGCAGGAAGCGGAATAGTTGGATCTGTACCCACTGTATTTATTTCTTAAGCAGGCGCGTATACTTTCTGTAGTTAGTTCATTTTGAACCTGTGCTTGTTTTTTGATCACCGAACACTTGCTTCTTATCTACTTTGCTTCATCCTGGCTACTTTTTTGGCACGAACGTCTTACGTCTTCCTGCGGGTACACATTGTTCGTCCCATGCGTGATTACCGACGCAACCCATCACTGTGAGTGAACAGGGTATTTGAGTCTCCAAACGTGCTCTGAAGCTCTTATTTAATTTGTGACTAATAAATCTGCATACTGCGTGAATTACGCGAACTCTCTTTGCACGAT